TGCATGCAGTGACCTCTAGCGTGCTTTCCACTAACTTTTCAAATTGTAAATAGCACCAGTCCTTCCGACACTTACTGCCATCCTACAGCGTTGTGCCCAATTCAAAAATTTTATCGAGCTACCTAACGTCAATTGAGAAAAAGAGCCTAACAAATGCTCACTTGACTGCCCGACTAGGTGAAATGCGACTTGCTACCCTTCTTGGCGATAATTGGTGTCTTCTGGCTAACCTTCAGTCTCTTCACTGTGGCCATGATATACAAGCCGCATGGTCCAGAGAACTTGGGGGAGCACTGGCATGAAGTCCTCTACGTTGCACGTAACAACTTCTTCTCCATGTTTGGGGAATTCGACATAGCTGACAACATTGCTGAAATCGGTAAGTCTTGCTTGGATGGAGAGATGACCTTTGCCTATTCCATTTCCAGCCACCGAAGAGGAAGAATGCGTCCGTTTTGGGGAGTGCACGTATCCCGGGGCTCAGCACATCTACCCCATCATTATGATGGTCTATGTGCTTTTAACTCACGTACTGCTCATTAACCTACTCATCGCCATGTTCACGTAAGTTGTGAAGACCGGCTTTATTCCTCTGCTTTGCTTGCACAGCACAATGACTGGCTGTTTCCCAATCGGTGCAGAGAACGCTATGACAAGATGGAGCATATGTCAAAGCAGCTTTGGGCAATGCAAAAGTTTGGGCTAGTCAAGTCATTTGCCAACGCACCTCCACTGCCTTTCCCCTATGTGCTCCTCTGGCCCTTCATTTCCGCCCTCAGACTGTGTTACCGTCTATTTCAACACCACCCAACTGATGATACGCCCTTTTGTACGTCAAATTCTCAGTACTCACTAAGAAATTGGCATTCATTGCTTGCTTAGGAGGCAGTGAAATAGGTCTTTGCTGCCTTCCTTTCTTAAGTTATTTCGATTTTGAATTATGACTTTTTGCGCCAGCTAGTAGATATTTGCTCACATAGCAAATATTTGACCACACAGGCTTCGAGGTGGATGAGGCGCGACAGGGTCAAATCATAAATTGGGCTAGATTTCGCAGCCTGGACTACTTACATCGCCATCCCAATGCATTCCAACGGTTGAAAGTGCAAGCTCGCTATGGCAAGTTGCATAAGAAGACATGGTGGTTGGAGATAGAGGGGAAGGAGTACGAAGAATCACAAATCACCACAATTGGTGCCCGAGTAGCCATTGAAATGGTGGAGAACCGACTGCAGGCAATGGAGATGCGTCTGTCAGCGGCTGCTGCTGCTGCTGCTGCTGCT